ATATATGCGCTTCTGATATTCTACAAATCTGGGCAAGATTGCTGTTAGAAATTTGGCTGCCTATCAAAGCTATCTGTCCTAACTGCTGTGGGCTCTCAACATTCTTTGTAAGCAGAATGTGAACACACATTAGAAGGAACTATGTCTGAATCAACGTATTGTCTTCTTGCTCACAGTATTCACTTGCACGTTTTATGTATTGCCTTTTAGGCAATTCTTTGCATTGCAGAAAAGCAACAGCTAGTGATTGCACTGCACGTAAAATAACTAAATTCGCTACCAAAAGGGCAAAAAGGAATGTGCCATACTTCCAACCTAAATCAATTGTTCTATTTTTAAACAAAAAAGGGTAACAAAAAGTCCTTGTTTCAGTACAGAGGGAGCAAGAAGGCAGCGCAGGGTAACATAGGACCACTACAGGATGGACCAGGGCAACTTGTAACAGACAGGATGGACAAAGCTGAACTCTTAAATGATTTCTTTGCATCTGTGTTCCTGGACATGGATACAAACACACCTCCCAATGAGACCTTAGTCTGGCTTGAGAGAGATACCAATCCACCAGCGGTTAGCACTGACCTAGTAAAGGGCACTTGGAGGGGTTGGATGTATTTAAGTCAGCAGGCCCCGATAATCTTCACCCAAGGGTATTAAAGGAATTGGCCGGTGTCATAGTGAAAACACTGGCACAACCGTTTGAGCACTTGTGGTGCTCAGGGCAGGTCCCAGGAGACTGGAAAAGGGCCAACATGGTCCCTATTTTCAAGAAGGGGAGGAAGGAGGACCCAGGTAATTATAGGCCAGTTAGCCTCACGTCTATTCTTGGTAAGACCTTAGAAAAAATCATAAAGGATCACTGGGGGGGGAAAGGTAATATAGTGTTAAAGGTGCCACCAGCATGGGTTTATAGCAGGCAAATCTTGCCTGACTAACCTGGTCTCTTTTTATGACCAGGTCACAAAGTGCTTAGATGCAGTAGAGGTAGATGTCATTCACTTGGATTTTAAAAAGGTTTTCGAGACAGTATCACACCCAATTCTTACAAGTAAACTAAGTAGCTGTGACATGGATTTTTTCACAGTCAGGTGGGTAGAAAACTGGCTTATGGGACACACCCAGAAAGTGGTGGTGAGTGGGTCAGTTTCTACCTGGAGAAATGTGGGCTCTGTCTTTGGACCAGTACTGTTCAATATCTTCATCAGTGATTTGGATGAGGGTGTAGAAAGCACTCTGTCCAAATTCACAGATGACACCAAACTATGGGGTCTAGTAAACACACTAGAGGGTAGGAAGTGAATTCAGGCAGATTTAGATAGACTGGGGAAGGGGGCAGATCAGAATAGGTTGCAATTTAACAAAGGTAAGTGCAAGGTGCTGCACTTAGGGAGAAAGAATCACCAATACACCTGTAAACTGGAAAGTACCATTCTAAGTAGCATAGCAGTAGAAAGAGATCTCGGAGTCATAGTCGATTCAGAAATTAACATAAGACGCCAATGTGACAAGGTAATAAGTAAAGCTAACCACACTCTT